ATAATTTTGCAAGGCCAATGACTTATTCATTCCAAATACCTTTTTTCAACAACACAAATGGCAGCTAGCTATACATGTGGATTTCACCAGATGGAGTACACAGGAATCAGACTGACTACATCTGTGGCAAGAGGTGATAGAAAAGCTCAATATCTCCAGCCAAAAAAAAAAAGCCAGGTGCTGATTGTGGAACAGACCATCATCAGCTTGCTCATATGCAGGTTCAACTTGAAGTTGAAGACAATTAAAACAAGTCCACAAGAGCCAAAATATGACCTTGAATATATCCCTCCTGAATTTAGAGACCATCTAAAGAATAGATTTGATGCATTGAATACCAATGGCCGAAAACCAGAAGAATTATGGGATGGCATCAAGAACATCATCTACAAAGAAAGCAAGAGGTCATTAAAAGATAAGAAAAGAAGAAAAGACCAAAATGGATCTCAGAAGAGACTCTGAGACTTGCCCTTGAGTGGAGAGTAGCTAAAGCAAATGGAAGAAATGACAAGTAAAGGAGCTGAACAGAAGATTTCAAAGAGCAGCTCAAGCAGACAAGCCAATTACTATAATGAAATGTGCAAACATCTGGAGTTAGAAAAACAAAAGGGAAGAACACACTCAGCATGTCTCAAGCTGAAAGAACTGAGGAAAAAATTTAAGCCTTGAGTTGCAATACTGAAAGATTCTATGGGCAAAATATTGAATGAATAGGAAGCATCAAAAGAAGATGGAAGGAATACACAGAGTCACTGTACCAAAAAGACCTGGTGGATCTTCATCCATTTCAGGAGATGGCATATGACTAAGGACCAATGGTATTGAAGGAAGAAGTGAAAGCTGCACTGAAGGAATTGGTGAAGAACAAGGCTCCAGGAACTGATGGGATACCCATTGAGATGTTTCAACAAATGGATGCCTGGCTGGAGGCACTCACTTGGTTATGCCAAGAGATTTGGAAGACAGCTACCTAAGCAACAAACTGGAAGAGATCAATATTTGTACCCATTCCAAGGAAAGGTGATCCCACAGAATGTGGAAATTATTGAACAATATCATTAATACTGCATGCAAGCAAAATCTTACTGAAGATAATTCAAAAATGGTTGCAGCAGTATATTGACAGAGAACTTCCAGAAATGCAAGCTGGATTCAGAAGAGGATGTGGAAAGAAAGACATCATTGCTGATGTCAGATGGATCTTGGCTCAAAGCACAGAATACCAGAAAGATGTTTACTTGTGTTTTATTGACTATTCAAAAGCATTTGATTGTGTGGATTATAACAAATTATGGGTAACATTGAGAAGAATGGGCATTCCAGAACACTTAATTGTACTCATGAGGAAACTGTACATAGACCAGGAGGCTGTCATTCAAACGGAACAAGGGGACAGTGCATGGTTTAAAATCAAGATGGGAGTGCGTCAGGGTTGTATCCTTTCACCATACTTATTCAATCTGTATGCTGAGCAAATAATCTGAGAAACTGCACTATGTGAAGAAGAACGTGGCATCAGGATTGGAGGAAGAATCATTAACAACCTGTGATATGCAGAAAACACAACTTTGCTTCCTGAAAGTGAGGATGACTTGAAGCACTTACTGATGAAGATTGAAGAATACAGTCTGCAGCATGGATAACATCTCAATATAAAAAAAACAAAAATCCTCACAACTGGACCAATAAGCAGCATCATGATAAATGGAGAAAAGACTGAGGTTGTCAAACAGTTCATGTTGCTTGGTTCCACAATCGATGCCAATGGAAGCAGCAGTCAGGATATTAGACGACGTGTAGCACTGGGCAGGTCAGCCATGAAGGAACTCTTTCAAGTGCTGAGGAGCAAGGATGTCTCCTTGAGGACTAAGATGCACCTGACACAAGCCATGATATTTTCAATTGCTTCATATGCATTTGAGAGCTGGAGAATGAATAAGGAAGACTGAAGAAGAATTGATGGTTTTGAGTTGTGATGCTGGCAAAGAATGCTGAAAATACGATGGGCTGCTAAAAGAACTAACAGATCTGTCCTGGAGGAAGTGCAGATGGAATGCTCCTTGAAAGCAAGAATGGCCAGACTTTGTCTCACCTACTTTGGTCATGTTGTCAGAAGGGACCATTCCCTGGAAAAGGATGTCATGCTTGGTAAAGTGGAGGGTCGACGAAAGAGGGGATGGCCTTCAATGAGATGGATTGATATGGTGGCTGTGATAATGGTGTCAAGTATAGCAGGAATCACGGAGCCGGCACAGGATCAGGTGGTGTTTCGTTGTACTGTGCACAGGGTTGCTATGAGTCGGAGATGACTCAACGGCACCTGACAACAACAACTTTGGTCATGTTGTCAGAAGGGACCATTCCCTGGAGAGGGGTGTTGTGCTTGATAAGGTGGAGGGTCGATGAAAGAGGGGAAGGCCCTCAAGGAGATGGATTGACACAGTGGCTGTATAGCAAGGATCATGGAGCTGGCACGGGACCGGGCAGTGTTTCATTCTGCTGTGCATAGGGCCATTGTGAGTCGGAGATGACTCAGCAGCACCTAACAACAACAACAACAGAGATTTGTAATGGAAAAAGAGAATAACACTTACAGCTATGATGGGTTGAACACTAACTCCTAGCCGAGCACGTGGATTTTCTCATTTTATTCCCAGGTCACCCCCCATGATAGGAAGTAGAATTATCCCCATTTCACAAGTGAGGAAGCAGACTTAAAGGAACTTGCCCAGCGTTGCACAGTAAGTGGATGGTGACAGCAGTATTAGAATCCAGGTCTGCTAGCTACAAGCATATGGGCTTCCTTCTACCCACATGGGAAGGGATCAGGAGGCCTTGACAGCCAAGTGACGTCATGTACAGCAAATACCTTGGCTTCCCTTTACACTCCTTCACTTTCTCACTTAACTCATACTCTTCCAGCTCCTGAAGTTCAGTGACAGCTCTTCTTTTTCTCATCAGCATCCTCCCAGTTGCCTGATGCCTATTCTCAGTGACTTGGCCTCTTAGAAATGTTGCAGCTGTAACAATGCCCTTCTCTTGGGGTGATTCTCTTTTCTTAGCATCTCTGATGCTGCTGTCCCTGCTTCTCCTCTCTTGGATAACACTGGAGCAATTTTCTCATTGGCAAATGGAATAAATGCCTACCTCACAGGGTAGTTACAAGAATGTAAAAGGTAATGGATGCAAAACACTTAACAAATGTGTGTTGGCTTAGAGGGGTTTGCACTTAAAGCGAAAAACAAGGAACCCCAGCTCTGGTGGCTTGTCTCCTCTCTTCAGGAAGGAACTAGTGTGTATGTGTGTATGTACACTCAGACATGCGTGCACACTGACACACACACGTGTTATGATTCTACCTCAGAGCAGGACCTTTTCATACAGAAGGACCAGCAGGATGGGTGCAAAATGGCAATGGTTCTCTCTCCCTGGAGCCAGCTACTCTCACCACGCACTGCTCTGTTTCATCCCACCTTTCCTTCCTAGTTGGAGAACAGCCAGCTGAATTCACCTCCTGGCACCGTGTAATTAAGGGTCAATAAATTACGTGCTCACCAGGGCCTCATGGTTTCCCAGGCATTGCAGGCATCAAACCCAGGTCTTATGTTTGGGACCTTTCTCCATTGGTAGGAGTTTGTAAACTCCTGTATTCTGTTGAGCTGGAAAGCATCAGTTGCTCCTGACTGAGGCCCAGAGGACAGCACTGTGAGAGACCCACTGCTAAATATTGAAATGCCCCAGGTGACGTATAAATGGGTCATGAATTTGCATCATGTACCACATAAAACATCTCAGATGCCTTAACCCCATCTCTCCCAACAGATGAGCTTGGCTGACTTTTGGGGTTGGGGTCGGGGAACATGCCACATGCACTAGCCCCACCATCTCACGCCTTTGCCATACAGTCCCTAACTGTCCAGAAGGACATGTGGGCAGTTCATGAACTATGGCAGCTGAAGCTCTGGAGCCCAAGGTCATGTCTCAAAGTTCATGAGGACTTTCATTTTATGTTGCTCTCATCTCTGATCATTGGAACAACCACTCTGAGGTAGTGAAAGGGATGGGGTTGAAAGAAACCATATCCAATTTTGTTTGGTTCTGTTTGGTTTTGTTTTGGCTTTTGCTTTTTTGTTTTCCCCACCCACCACAAGTTCTTTTCTTCCCCTCTCATAGTGTGGGCGAAATGCTGAAAACTTCGACCGGTTTTTCACCCGCCATCCACCAGTCCTAACACCTCCTGACCAGGAAGTCATCAGGAATATTGACCAATCAGAATTCGAAGGATTTTCCTTTGTTAACTCTGAATTTTTAAAACCTGAAGCCAAGAGCTAAGTAGATGTGCAGATCTCTGTCCTCCATTTCTGTCATTCAAACTCCATAGCTACTGTGGTGACATTCTTCCTCATTGCAAAGTTGCATTTCTGTTTTATTTGCTGATGAGACTAGAGTGACCATGTTTCAGAACCCAAATGTCCTCAGGTAGTTGATAGCATCTCTCCGAGGCTGGACTATCCAGATGGCTCGTAGAACATGCTGTTGCATAATTAACACGTTAACAGAGTCCTCTTACAATTTATTTCTCCAACATGCCCACTAAGGAGACCCAGTGGGGAGAGGAAATGCCTGCTTTCTTTCCCTCTTGATGGGCCCCACCATTTTCACACGTTCTCCAACCCCAACCATCCAATCTAGATTCTTGCAAAAAAAAATGGGTGGCTAATTGGATGCTAGCAGGCTGCTTCGACTTCTAGACTTGGAATTTTGCTTGCACACAAGTACATGGTTGCATTGGCCTTGAAGATCCCTCTGTGCTGCGTGTTTTCGGACTTTGAAAACAACATGCTAAAACGAAATTTGTATTTGTTACTTTTTTAACCCAAAGTTAAGAAGATTATCCAAGTCCTCTTAAAATTCCAAGTCTGTACTTTTAGATAGTTTCTATCTAAAAGCACTGTGGAGGGCCAAAGGGCCACCAGCGTGGGTGCTACCTCAGCACTGTAATTTCTGATACTTTGTCACTGATCACCTGCACTACTTGAAAAGGGCATTTGGGCACCACTTCTTGAAAGTACATGGTCACTCTAGAAAGGTCCCAAAGGGCCACGATTTTACATTACATTTCAAATTTTTTTGCTTTGAGGTTTTATTTCTGTTGTTCAAATGGCCAAAAACAAAACAAAAAAAAGGTTACTCACTTTGTTACACGTGCTTTAAAATATGTGTGTACATGGTTTTAACCACAACGAGCTGTTTTGATTTAACCAAGAAGACGGCTCTAGAGCCCCGCAGACCCATGCCTGCGGGCATAGGATTTGTCAAGGTTTGTGGCTGGCTTTATAAAGCCACGTAAGTGCTCAGAGAGACCCCGTTTCTTGAAGCAAAGACAGTTGTACTCTTCACCTTGATGTTGTTTTGCACGATGTTTATGGAATGTCCATTTGTATCTGGATATTTGTAATGTGCCATTTCTCTTCTAGCATCGAGATATAATAATAATAATAAAAAAGAAACAAAGAAAAGAAGAAATGCTGTTTCAAGGAACACTGCTCTCTTTGACAAAATACAGAGTCATATTACAGAGTGGGGCTCCCTGGGACTTCAAGACTGAAAGAGACCTAATCCACAGCTTAATCCTGGCCCTGGTGTTCAGCAAGTCAGAGAAACAGGGGCTGTAGGCCCTGCAGGGGCTCCCGCTGGTCTACTCTGGGGTGATGCAACCTTTCCGGGGCCTCCCACAGAGGCAGAGCCCAAAGCCTCCATTCCTCCTGGATTCGAGTTTAGGGACCAACTAAGAGCATGGCTGGGGCTCTTGAGTTTCTTATCAAAATAGTCACTCTTACCAGCTTGCCCTACATATTTTTTCTAGCAAGCAGCTTTGTGAGCCCCAGCGCCCGGGAAAGTCCCCTGGGTAGAGGACATCTCATTTTTGTCTGAGCAGATGAGGACAGCAGGTGACTCCTCATCCTTGTCTGCCACCTCCTGCTATTCTCAGCAGCCCTAAAGAGAATTTGTACCACAATTCAAAGGATTTCCAGAAGTTCTGGGGCTTCTGAGAAACTCTCAAGGGAACTTTAAAAACTAGACAGATGTCCTTGAAGTAAGACTTCTCGTCTGTGAAAAAATTATCATGGGGAATTCCCCTTAGGCCAGGCCCCCTGCAGTTCCTGCCTGCCTGCCTCTTTCTCCTCCTTGCTCCAGGCTTTTGGGGTCACCCCTGCTGCTGCCACTGTGGCTGCCACCTGGAGCTAAGGTGAAACAAACCTGAAGTCCTAGCTGACAAGCCTGTGAGGTTATAGAAGGAGGGACATCAGGGCAAAACCCCCTCACTTTATTGTTGGGGAAAATGGTATCTGGAAGAGGAAATGACTTGCCCCAGATCACCCAGCCAGAATGCAAACCACTTTGGTGAATGCCACACAAGGTCTTCCTGCTCTCTAGCAGTGCAATAGGAGCCTAGATCATGTTTATCTCTGAGCCAAGCAAATTCTTTAAGGTCCTTCATTTGGCTGTTGGGTCGTGAATACCCACTGTGTGCTGGGCTCTATGCTGCGTACCCAAGGGCACAGTGGAGAACCATAAAGGTGCAGTCTCTGTCCCCTTGGTGCATACCATCTGGTGGGAGGGCAGTCCTGAAATAAGTCATTAAAAGCATGATGCGAACTAAAGATCTCGAGTCTCTAGGTTAGTCAGGGAGGCTTTTGACAAAGAAGAAAAGCTGTCAAATGCCTTTGGGGCTCTTCTTTCTCACCATAGACCACAGTTTAAGGCTGAACAAAAAGGTAGAGCAGCACCCTTTGACCCAGAGTTCTGGGAAAATCATGCATTATGCTGAATCAGGAAGAAAAGAAGCAAGGTGGTTGCTGGGATAGTTTCCTTTTGGAAGGGCAAAGACACAAGCCTCTATGGCTGAACAAGATACATTTTCATTTCCAAGATCTAAGCAGAGACAGATACCCATATTGTCCCTTTATATATTGAAAGGACAGCTGAGTTTATAGCTGGATTCTGAGCCCTGAGTCTCATCTCTTGGGACATTTAACTCATATTCCTGCAGGCCTTACCCTTGCAGGTCCTCAGGGAAACAACACTCCCTTCCCAACACACTGCCTCACACTTGACATAGCTTAGGCCTTCTAGTCCAGCTGAGACAAGTTAAGGTTTTTCAAAGGACTTAAATTAGGGGAGAATAAAAAACTAATTTGGAAAATAATAACAATAAACCCCTAAACACAATCCAGATTAGCTGTGGTGGACTGTCTACCAGGATTCCACAATTACACTTTCAATTGCTTACAAGTTTCAATGAGCTGTACCTGTTCTTAAGAAAGAACAAGGTTACAATCACAATGGCCTTGTTAGGGTATCAATAGGAGGCCAGTCAGATTACTGTATTTTTACACAAATAACACATGCAGTATCCAGTCTTTGCAAAATCCGTAACCCCCTCGCACGTTAGTTTCCACTGTGTTTTACATAGCATGTGTGCTCTTCATGTGGGCACGTTATATGTGAACAATACAGTAATAACCCTCCTTGGATGAGTGATGCTATCCTCATATGACTTCAGATGCTATCAATTCAGGAATGCCATTCTCTTCCAAATTCCAGATTTTAGGAATGTTTTCTGTGGGGATCTGCCCACAGGACAACACCCATAAAGGCAAGTCCTGCTTGGACCATGTGGCATGAGTTTGAAGCGGGAGTCATAATCAGTGCAGCAAATGAAGAAGACTTTCAAAGTGGAGGCTAGTGGGAAGGGAATCTCAGCTGGGTGTCCTCGGCAGAGGAGGCCTGATAGGGTTGATGATACCAGGAGAGGAAAGGCCCAAGACCCACACACAACCCAGTGCACTCAGACCTTGAGGGGAACTAAAGATGAGCACAGTTCAGGTCATACAGAGAGCCAAAATGGACAGTGACTCATAGGCAGGACTCTCAGGATGAATGGAAACAAGTCCTTTGTTTTGTTTTTCTCTGGCATATATGACAGTAAGCTATTCATGAGAGAAATAGTGAGACATCAGGGAAGTCCCATAATTTTGCTGTAGAGTGACAGATCCCTGGCTTTGGGGTGACTTATCAGTTGGAAAAAACAAAGAAGCTGTTCTTTACTCAAGGTTTTATTCACTGAGCCATTCACTCAGGCAAATAATTAAGAACAGACCCCTATGTGCCAAACCCTAGTCTTGTTACTGGAAACACAATAGTGAAGAAACAGGCAAGGACCCTGCCCTCCTGGAGAGAAACAATAAACAAGCACATAAAAAAATCAAAACTTCCAATCGCAACAGGTGCAATGAGGACAACTGAAGAGATGTGAACTTAGGACTTGTGTGGGGAGCAGGAGAGGGCCGCACAGACAACGTTAACTGATAGGTGGCATTGGAGCTTCTGTCCCAACACAGGAAGTAACACTCAGGCCCTGGGGAGTGGAGCCTCCCACAGCACAGAACCCAGTGACAGCAGGCAGGACAAGACAAAGAAGAATGTGTGGGGCCCAGTGGGAGATGGCCCACCATCCAGAAATAATGCACTGGGCCCTTCAGCATCTTTCTGCACTCTCCCTCCTGGTCATGCTTACCTAAGTGCATTCCTGATGTCCCTTGTGCCCCTCACGCCACTCCACCCCACACACGTACCCTTGCAAGTGTAACTAGGCAACCCCATAGGGGCTTTTTACCTATCTCTCAGGGAGCAGGGAAAAAAGAGAAATTCTCGTAAAAGATTTTAGGAAAAGGACACTTAGCCCAGAAATGAGAAATTCCTAGTCGTCAGTGCCCCTTAAGGGCATATTTGGCAGTTGGCCAAACTCTAGCAAGTCAGTCCATTTCCACTGACCCTCTCCTCTTTACAAGCCAACACAGTTCTGCCTTCAGCCACACACCTTACCTGGTCCCAGTGAGACACAGGCACGTCTCTGAGATTGCATTTTCCTCGGTCAACATAACCGTGAGCCTGTGTCCTCGTCCCATCCCCCAGTCAGAGGGGTGGAGACAGAACACAGTTAGCAACAATGTGCTTAGGTAAAAATCCATAACCATTGTGCAAGATCAGGTAAGTCATTTCACCTTCCTGTGCCTCACTTTTCTCATGTGTCAGATAACGGGGGAGAGGAAGCTTCCTGTTACCTGCCTCACAGCTGGGTATGACATGGATGGCAAGAGATGGCAGGCTGACGACACAGAACAGATACAAGCAAAGTACAGATCCGAGAAGACCTTTGTTATCAGCCCCCACTCTGATGTTCCCTGGTTAAACTTATGCCAAAACTGTAGTTAATAAAGTGAGATTAACAACCTCCAAAAGAAATGCCAAGATGACTAGGAAAATCTAGTTAAATTTTTGTTCTTTTTTTTTTTAAGCTGTCCATATGGATCTTACTTTAAGCATTTGGTTTGATTTCTTATAGTGTGTTGACTCTATACATGCTATAAACATCCTTGGAGAGAACCTTGGGCTGAGGAAGACACACATTCTAGTCTGTGGGTGGGTTGTTGAGGGTCTTCTTCAAAGCCTATATTGCACCAGCGAGTGTGGGATAGACATGGTCATCTCCTCTCATGAAGCTATGCCACCTTCTTTGGAGCTGAATGACTGTACAGCAGCCCTCCTTTTCAAAGACAGAGGCCTCTTAGCCACAGGGGTCACCATCAGTTGGTTTTCTCTGGGACATTCTACCTAACAACAAACTCTATGAACATTAAGCATGGTAAAAAGTAGTTTTCAACTCAATCCACCTGGAAGCCAAAGAAAATGCACACACACACACATACCAAAAAGAAAAGAAAATGACATTAAAAAAACACTTTATGGCAATTATTTTAAAAATTCAGTGACTTATTTCCTCTTTTAGCAAATTTCTACCAAATTCTCTATCCTGATGCTAACACACGGTATGAAATGAAAACCAAGGCCAGTGTGCTCTATGCAGCTGCTAAGATACTTGCAGCACAGGACTCTTTCTGACTCTGTCCATGAGATGTCATGGACTTCCTAGTAGCCAGCATGTCTTGGTCATGTTTCCTTCTTCTTATGCTGTGTTAATGCATTTGCTTTCCATTTGGCAGAGAGACAAGCGAGACACCTCCAACTTCGACAAAGAGTTCACCAGACAGCCTGTGGAACTCACTCCCACTGATAAACTCTTCATCATGAACTTGGAC